TTAAGGCATTATCCGTTATTGTTGATGTAAATTCTGCATGGCGTGCTCAAGGACTTCTGCACGTATATACATACGCTATGTGCCTGGCGATACGAGAGATCGTTTATTAAAAAAAAATCCATTAAAGCCCGCGACGATTGCGTTTGCGATTTGGTCCGATTTGTGTTCTTGTGGACCACTTGACGTCGATTGCACGACTTTGGGAGCCTTAACACCTGGCTTGGCTTAAGGCGACGGCAAATTAGTTGAAAGCACGCTGATTTACAGCAAGTTTAGGCGCATTAAGGCATTAGCCCCGGGCCACAACCTGTTGGTGATGCTAATGCTGATGCCCGAGTCAAAGTTGGGTCGTGTTGGCATATTTGGTAATGTGATTTTTGTAGCACTTTTGTTCACACCCGGCGACACATGTTGTGGTTCACACACACACACACGCGCGCACACACACGTTCACACGAACTTGGGGTATTGCTATACCCCGGGGCGATATTTACATGCATGCCCCGCTCCCGTTTGGGCATAAGCGCTTAGTGGCTGCCAAGTTTCTGCTGCAAGTTTCGTGTCGAGCAATATACATATTTATATAAAATATATGCATATGCGGATGTGTATATATATGCATGTGGCTTTATTTAAATGCCCTTTCTCAGCCCCAACTAATAATGCCCTTAAATTATACTGCTGGACAACTAACTTTTGTCGGCCCCAAGCCAATTTAATCGATATAACATATAGACGCCGACAGTTGACGCCGTGACATACGCTGTAACATATATGTAAATATTTGATGGGCCCAGTTGGGTTCAGTTAGCCGTGACTTTGCTGCCATTCCGGACACGCTTGATTCGAAGCTCAAACTGCCACATTTTGGGCCATCGTAGGTCTTGGGACTGCACTGACCGACCGGGTCATTACGATGATGACAGTGCCTGGACTCGCTTCCGGCCAGCCGCCATTAAAGCTGAGCGCTGCCAATCCATCTGAATCAGCGCAAAGTGGAAGTATGCTGGTCAAGTACCGTTGCGGCGACAATTAATTAAAACTAATTGAGTTTGGTCAATGCTCTAGCTCTGACCGCCTGACCGGCTGACTGGCTGTCTGGATGACTGGCTAATTGACTGGAGGCTGGCAGCTTGAGTTTCGGCCTGAATTGTTGTTGTAAAAAATTGTCATTTCATTAGTTTCCATTACTCGTCAAGCTACCCACGCAAGGCTTTGCGCCGCGTTATTTATGAAGTGGGCGTCCGCTTACCTGTCTCTGCGCCGTGCTACGCTTGATAATTTTCACTTTTATTGGCTTTTAATTAATGCGAAATTGTTTGGCATTATGAATACACGGCAGTATCTCTAGCGGGGCAATTAATTTGATTACAAAACGTTTAACCGGCTCTGCGTGCTAATGAGATCTTCCAAGCCAGGGCTTACTCGGCATGATGCTGATGGCCAGATACTGTCACACGTGTGCTTACGCACTCGGTTTTCAGCTCAAACGGAACAATCGACAGTCAGTCAGTCAGTCAGTTGTTCAGTTAGTCCTTCCTTGGGGAGGCACTTGCTTACTGTCGCAGTCGCGTTTGGTGTTTTGTGCTTGGATGCTTCTCGTTTCAATTGTCAATTGATGCTATCAAGTCAAGCTTGTTGTCTGTCCTTTATCCCGTTAGTGCTTGGCTGATATTGCTTTGTATGCTCCACAGGTATGTGTATGGGGGGTTGGGGCGTGTGTATCAGGAGCACGACACGATTTCACAGCAAACAGTTGCATTCATCAGTTGCCGCATTCAGTTCATTGACTGACTTTGTATGAGAACCACCAGTTTTGTATCCTTGAACAATGCACATCGTCCTTGTCTATGGGTGTCTGTTCTTTTTTCAAGCGAATGCCAGTACATAAATATTTACATGGTCCAAACACACAGTGCCACGCCCCATCAGTCATTGCCATTGATGGCTGTTCTACTGGTTATTGGTTATTGATATAAAATCTGATTATCTTTTGATTTTCTGCTTTTATGCAAGTCTGCGATGTGCAGCCAAGTGTGTCAGCTGAATGAAAGAAGCAACTCCCACAACTCAGCCCGTATCTAAGTCGAGTTCTAGCTGGGCAGGTGCAATGTCAGCCATGAGCTATAAGCATTGATTGGAAATTCTGTATTTGCCCTTGACGTTTTACCATATTGCAATCTTTTGAAATATCTCAATTCTCTAAAGATGCTCGGGACTACACCTTATGTTATGCAGCTGGCCCAGAATTATGTTAAGTCTAATGTTTAATGTAGAATTAGCGATTGTAATCTCTCACAGCTCCATGGACTAAAAGTAAGTTAATTTTGTAAGAATTGAGTCAAAGTTTAAAATATTTAATCTAGTGTCAAACTTGGCTGAATAATTTCCCTATTTTTTTTTCAAGCTCCTCCAACGTAACTTCTCCTTCTAAAAGCGATTCGAGCTGTGCTTAAAATTTGTCGTTAGGGGTTGGCAGCTATCTGGCAACCTGCTAGATATTAATGTCAACGGCACAGTCTGGGATTTGCGGCATTTGAATGAAGCCGCAGTGGCGACCACAGACCGTAGGCGGCTGTCAAGGACCTCCACGATATTTAAGGCCACCCGATGAGCAGCAGCAGCAAACCCACATTAGCTCTTGGATATTATGTAGATGCTTTATTTTCATAATTGCCAACATCTTAGCATTTCATTAAAGAGGCCTCTCGGGGCTTAAACTTGTCACCGCTAGCGTCTATGGGGTAGTTTGAGAGAGTGACTTCATGGTGGTAACAAATGATTTGATAATCACACAAAATGATTTCAAAATCAACAGCTTAAGACATTCGAATGCTTGACTTGGGCGCCAGCACGCATTATTTCCTAATTGTGTGTACATACGAGACTGTGTGTGGGTTTATATTTTTATGACTGAGAGTTGAAAGAGCATGGAGCAGGTCGCTTGTTGCTAGCAGAAGTTTTCCCTATGGGCCTTGTAGAATACAGCTTGACTTTTGTTTTGTTTGCTTAACTTCATGTCAAGCTATACGCTTGCATACATACTTACGCACATGGCAGGCCAGTGTGACAACAACTCGAACTCGAACTCGAACTCGCACTGTAAACACTTCTGTTGTTGTTGCTGCTGCTGTTAGGCCGTTAACAGTCGCTCTCACTGTTAGGCTGTGCGCAGGCGCGAAACCTTCCTCAATTGAATTTCATAGTAATTTCCTGACGATGGCAGCAATACGTTTCAGATAAGGGTACGTCGGCTCCTGGTTAGGACACTCCGCGCCGTTCACGGCAATTTAAATCTGAATTGACAGCGTACTTAAAGGCGTGCTCGTTGCGTATATTACGCGAAAGCAAAACAAACTCACAGCCGGCCCAAAGGACAACGACTCGGCGTGCGTTTAGCTATTGACGAGCATATCGTCTAAATGTTGATGACTCGCAAATATGGCTGAGCTTCTGTGAAATAGTGTGTGTGTGTGTATGTGTATTCGTGAGATACGCATAATGTATTAAGTGTCAGCAATAGAAGAAATACATTATAATTGCACAGGACAAGCAATTTGGTTGATGTTCCCCACAGGTGAGCTGCAATTTGTGCTTCACATAATGGTATACATTGTTATCGACAGATAGACACCATTATTCCTATCGCCCTGATGTGCCAGCCCCTAATACAATTTGGGACTATTTTATTTTATTTATTATTTGATTTGTTGTTGGTTGCCTCTGGCCAACACCGGTCAGCGGCCCATCCCCTTACCTCCATAGCTGCCAGCATTGGACATGGCCAAGTATTTATTTTATTTTCATTTTTTTTCTTGTGGATGTCGTGACCAGCCCTCGTCCACTTGGCCTATAAAAACCCCAAGCATTGGGTTACCCACTTAAACACTCAATTTTTTATGGCCCAACTCTTGAGTGCAGAACACTGTGGCTTTTGTCTCTTACATTTCGCTCACTTTTATAGTTGAACTTTAATCGAGGCACTTGGAATGGAGGCAACGACCACGTCCACGTTCATGTTCCTCACTCCCCCAAGTAATAATTGGAGCTAAAGCAAAAAGCCAGTTTGTCAACGTTACATATACGTCATATTTAACTGATTAAGTTGCTAAAAAATCAGAGGAAAAACAAACACACGACGGCTGAGAAGAGCTGAAAGTGAAACTCGTACATTTCTGAACGAGTGTGCAAATATGTACCCAAGTCCTGTGCCTTGCACACTTTGCTTATCTAAATTGTTTTATGCCAAAGTCCCCTACTTGTTGGGGCCCAGACCATTAAGCAGCACGCATTCAAATACACACCCACCCACCACCGCAAGCACACACACACACACACACTCAAATATATCCTAGATAATTTTTCAATGTCATTTGACGGCAGCAAAAATTTGACATTAGCCATTAATAAATTAGCGCGCATTTTGAATTTCTGTCTGCTAATTGAATATGAGAGAGAGCTGAGCCAGAGAGCTTTTGAAGTTTCGCCTGTGATATTTTAGCACCACAAATCAAATGCCACCCACACAAATCTGAATTATACAGACAGGAGCACAGCTGTGCGTTCGCCCGAAGTAATTTTATACGTAGCTTAACCTTTAACGCCAGCGCAATCCTTTGTTTCCGCCGACGCGTCGCCTTTTCACCGCCTTTCACACATCTTTTAACAATTTGACTGGAGTTGGGTGCTCTGCCACAAAGGGAAACAAATACGCCCATTGCATGGGCGTGTGTTGCCTTTTTAAAAAAATCTTTTTCAACAGTTCTCAAAATGTTCGGTAAAATGATTTTGGGGTCCGTTGCGGCGGGTCCTTTGCAGCTGTCGCTATTTATATATACCCTGGGCTTAGGAGACAAATTGAAGGATTTATTTTCTTTGCATATATGTTGTACATACTTTAAATTGATATGTTTGTATACGGTTGAAATATTGCTCATAATATATCATCAAATATATTGAATGATTTTCCCAAGCTGTCAATTTTTGTATATCGTTTGATTTAAATTAGATGAAAGTTTTTTAAAATTAAAATGCAGGAAACCAAATTATATAAATTTCTTAAGGTAAGACTGGGTGTCATGCAGTCAATCATTGTAGCTTATTTTTCGTTCTTATTCTTGTGTCTGTTGTGATTCCTTGACATGTGTTGCCGCCGTAAACCATTTGATTTTTGGCACACCCACACAGCAACAACTGCAAGTTTGTTGTGTGCGAAGTGTGTATTATGTCTGTCTGAAACATTGTTATGAATTCTCGTTGTAATTCCAATGAATACATAGTATTTCGTACATATTTGTAAGCTAAGCCCAAAGGTAAAGCTTTAAAATGCCAGTCGACCCAGCGGGACCCCTGTGGTTCTGTGGCCACAAAGTGTCTTTTCGGATACGACTTCATGTCACTGTCGCCATTTAAGACGAAGCCAAGACTGTTTATTTTTCCCTTACCCCGACCCACTATAAATGTATACTCATTTAAGTGCGGTCAGGTGGCGGGTATGATGAAATAAAACTTCGTTACATTACTAACACAAATATTCTAAAGCTTACATATGCATGTCAACGAAAGTAGACAGCCTTTAAAATTCACATTATTTCAACTTATGAAAATCGCATGGAAAGGCAAGCACAAAGCTTTTCCCCTTCTAATCTCTCTAGCTCTCTCTCTCTAGAGGGAAAATGGCTAATATTTAAATCAACCTTATTACAATATTTGTCGACTTGACCCTTCAAAAAGGAGTGTGCTTTGTAAATATAAATACCCTTGTATCATGTAACATATCCGAGGAATTGTCAACCTTATAAGCTATAAAGCTAAAACTAATTTTCTTATTCTAAGAAAATATTATGGTGCTTTTAATTTTCTACGAATGCTCACAGCAGCCGCACAAAATATACCACATTATATTGCCCGCCCGCGTCGGGTGGAACGCCAATTAGCGTAATTGCAAAATAATAAAAAAAAACTACTTGAAGCTGAGACAAAAGCATTAAAAAAACGCAGCTCTGCGGTGCTTTATGCTGTTTCTTTTTTTCGACTGGAACAAATTAACATTAAATTGTTTTTAATTTTTAAGCAGCTTAAGAACTGACCAACTCTCTGCGGTTTTCGCAGCCTGAATGCAATTCTTGTGGTTGGCTTGAATTGGACATGAACCCACTGAATAAAAGATAGATGACTCTAGGTTAAGCGTCAGCTTGGTTAGAGACATTATAATAACATCCATCATCCCGGACTATATAGGGATGACAGCAACAAATGTTAAGGCTCTTCACTGTGTAAACATGGCCTATTTTTGTTTACCAAAAATGCTAGGGTTTGCTGTACTTTTGGTGCCAACAGGCAAGTGGCCTTTGAGGGCCATTTGGCGTGCTGATTTCGCCGCACGTCCTATATCTATGTGTAGGCATGTATATGGACCAATAATAAGCCATTTCGTGCACATAATTGGCGGGGGTAGACGGCGAGTAAATAGCCATAATTAATGTATACTCGAACAATATAAACATAAATGTGACCTGACCGAAATACAAAAAGTGGCTGAAAGTTCACGTCACAGACAAAAAACGAAAATAACAGAAAAAACAAAGCGGAAACCACAGGGCGAGAGCAACGGAAATTGTTTGTCACCGCGTTTTTTTGTGTATGTGGCTGCGTGTGTGTGTGTGTACTTGTGTGTGCGTGCGTAATACTCACGCGGGAAAGTATGCAATAAAGGCTATTTTTTCATTGATACGCAAACAAGCGAGCGATTTGTAACGATATAGCTTTGCTTTTATGTATATTCTGCATCGATACACAGTATCAGTATTTCGGGCCGAAAAAAAGCAGCGAAAATTGCCAGAGACAACAGGAAAACATATTTTCGTGGACGAGGACATCATTGCCCTTGATTGCGTTGACATAATCGCATTGACAGTCAACGCATCCTGCGGATATTTGCAGCCGTTGCGGTCGCTTCGAGCGTTCGAGCAAAAACCATTTTCGCTTATAATGTGAAGATACAAATTTTCTGCATATGTACTTCTGAATCCCATTCATTCGATAATCAAGTTATATCCATTTAAGAAATGCATTATGGTAGGACAAACTTCGCTAAATTAGATCAGAAAATTGTGACAGACAAAATGTTTGCTTCCAGCTCTAACTAAAGCTTATAGTTAATGCTCTTTGAAAACTTCAAAATCACATTACTTTGACTAAACTCATTCGGCTTTTAAGCTTGCTGGCAACTCGATTATAATTTTGCCATCTAGTTTTATTTTGCTCATAGTTGAATATTTGCGCATGCAGGGTATTTCACAGTGTTGTAATTATCTATTACCTCCAAGAAGATATCGTTTATTCTCGCACAAAGCATGCTCGGCTTTGCATAATTTTGAGACACATTAAACCTCAGCCGATGGCGGTCCCAGAAACTTTAATCAAGCGCAAAGCCTTTTTATTTTTGATAATAGAAAAATTAAATGAATGCAAACTGTTGTGAATTTGCCGCTGCACAAAGGATGTCTCGAAATTATGCGCTCCGCTCTCGAGGGTGCCATTGTCATTGACAAGTGGTGACAGCTGCTCCGTTCTGTGCCCCTTCTTCTTCTGCTGCTTCTTCTTCTTCTTTTTGCTGTTGCTGCTGTTGTTCTGGCTGTCTGGAGTCCTTTGTGCCGTCGCGCACTCGCTGCGCTGTGACGTTTTTATTACAAAGGCTCATGAATTTTATTTGGCACGAAAATAGCAGGGCGGTCTACTGTTGCCAATTTGATGAGCATTTTTGGGCGATTTTCGTTTTTGGCCTTGGCTGCAACATGAACGCGAATGCCGTGACAGCAGCGACCAGAAACGGGAAGCCAGCCAGCCAGGAAGCACACAGTAGGCGCTCGAAACTATGAGCTCAAGATTACGAAAATTGTTTACACAATGCGCCAGCGTGGCATGCGCTGCCCACCACAGCTCTAATTAAAAAAGTTTCACGTTTAACCGCTTGAGTTGGCAGTACGCACGCACACTAGCGTGTGTGTATGTGCGTACGGTATGTGGCATGTGTGTTGTGTGGCAGGATGTGTGTGTATTAGTGCGTGGCTAGACAATCAAAACTTTTGTTCAGGCAGATCCACAGCAGCTTCAAAGACAAACCGAGCAACTGGAGCAACTAGAAACCTTACCGCAAAACGCACGCCTGGCGACCTCAGATTTCTTGGCTCCCACGCCTCGACGACTATAAAATTAATGAAGCGCCTCAGTTAGGAGCATTCAGCTGTCGGCTATTGCCACAAAAGAGACATTAAAGTTGTCTTTGCCTTTGCTGCCAGTTGACATGGTTGTTGCTCTAGTCTCGTGCTGGCTTCTCATTGCTGATGCTTATTTAAATATGCGCATAAAAGCTACGAACGCCCGTCAGGATTTATGGCCTGCGGCCGCTGGGGGTCCCTTTTTGGGCGCGCGCTTCGCCCATTTTGTGGCTAATCTCTGATGTACACTTAATTATGTGGCACGCTTGCTGATTGCCGACGATCTCTGGCAGCTGCCAACCCTTTCTATACCCGCGCCCAGAGGGCAACCAACTTTTAAATAAGTGTCTAATTATACACTAGCAGAAGATTATAAATAATTGATAAATCATCGAAAACGGATTCTTTTTCTCAGTTTTAAATTAGTTATATGTGGCGTATGATTAATATTTTAATTTAACTGTACTAATCAAAGTGTAAACTCTGGATACAGGTATTTCATAGTCGGTCATTGAGTTCTTAGCAATTTCCATTATTCTTAATGCTTTGTCGCATACCCTTTTGACTCTTTGACTGAGCCATATGCCATGTAAATTTCATATAGTTAATCCTGTTAGTTAGTCAAGCAAAAGTATGATAAATTTTTTACAATTTCATTGGCCTTTTACTCTGTCGGTGGCAGTGCAAACAACATGGCCAAAAAAAAAAAAAAAGAAACGCTAAAAATGCATGAGAAAGGAGGCGGAACTGCGGGGCCATGTTCGCTGCATGCAAAATTCACTGCAAATTCAGTGAAAGTTGCGCAGCAGCTGCAAGTTTGCCATGGTATAAAAAAAAGAGCCCGAAATTGAGCAACTGGCAAAAAGAAACGCAAAAATTTCTTTTCGCAACCCGCCCTGCATTCCACTTATTTTACGCTACACTGGCTGCCATAAAGCAATCAATTCGAGCAGAGTGCGTGCACTCTCTCACGTCAATCTGTGGGATTTGATGCCGACCAACAACACCTTTGACAAGGAGCACTCGAAAAACATTGAATACGAGGCGAGAATTTTAGACCATGTTAGTAATTGCTTTTAAGCGAAACTCTTGCTAGGTGCCACTATCCTTGGCCGCAGCGAATGACCACTAATCCATCAAACAGTCAAACAATCGGGCAACACTTGTATTTATTCGAAACACTTGATAAACATCCACAATTAGTTAATTTGCTACAATTCAATGAAATTGAATATGAATAAGCAGCTCGATGGGATACCCCATACCCCAATACCCCATTTGTTCTATTTTCAGTTTGCAACACGGGTCACTTGCGCATTTGATTGAATCGAGTAATATTCACTTGTCATGCGATTGAATGATTACGATTACGGCAATCAAAGCGCAGGAACGCGAATAGCGCATTTCATGTAAATTGGCTGAGACCCTAAGGCAAACTTAAGCCAAGTAATGCGTATCTTGAATTAGTTCGAATATAAAATTCATCTGCGCTGCCAGTTAATATTACGCATACGCCCCATGGCAATATAAATTATGCTCTCATAGGACTAAAGACAAAAACCACTGAAAACGCAAAGGCAACTACTGTCACTTAACAGAAAAATAAGTCGAAATATATTCCAATACAATAATTGACTGCGTTGAAGCGCCGTAGTCTATTGATTTGTTGTAGGACGTGGCATCCGTAAATGTCTTATAAATAATAGCCTAGACGGAGAAAATCAATTTTTAAAGGATAATTAATAATCTGATTTAGAGTTTACCTTAATAATATTCTTGCAACCTTCATTAGATTCTGCTTTAAGCTGTTATTAACAGAGACTCTGCTAACAGGCCTGTTTATTAACAGAGTATCCAGCAGTTGAGATTGCCCTTGCTTCGCAACACAAACATTTAAAATATGTTTTCATTACATTTTGCTTTCTTTTTTTTTTTTACTTCGAGCAAATGAAAAGCAAAGCATTTTCAAGCAACAGCATAAAAGATAGAAAAAAAATTTGCAGGGATTATTGCAGGAATTCATTACAGACTTCGATAAAGCAAATTGTTTTGGCTTAAATATTTCGAACTTTGTGTCCACTATCTCACATCTTTTAAGATATCCATTTAAGGAGTTAATATGACAAGGTCACAATTGAATAACGGCAAAGCGTTGAAAATTTCTACTGTCCAAGTCTTGAGGTCGTGTACTGTGTGTTAAAAAGAAAGTTGTTGCAAACTTTGGCATCGGTTCGAATGGTGGCGGCCGCCTCATGTTGTAAGTGCTGGGTAAACTTTTAATTATTGCACACTTGTGACGTTCAATTTGCGCGCGATGTTGTAAGATTGAAAAGTTTGCAGAGCTCAATTATGTACGAGTTTGAAATATATGTCTTAAATGCTTTGGCGCCAATTTATTGGGTTAAATTGTTGTTTGTGTTTTTTTAAGACAGTTTTCCGGAGAGCCCAGAGTCAGAGATATAGAGAAAGCTACGTAGCATTTGTATTTGTTTTGACTTAAAAGTAAATATTTTAAATTTTATGTAACAATGTTTCAAACACGTCTTAAGAGTCTTACCGAAAAAGCGGAGAAAGCCGAGGACCGACGTCGTTTCGTTTTTCGAACTTTTCTGCTGTTCATCGCATTTCTGCTGCTTGCCGTACTCCAATGGATAGCGATTACGGCCCTGGCTGGGTAACATGCTCTATTGAGCTTCCATTAAGAACTACTACAGCCATAATATGCTGTTTAATCTACAGAAACAAAATTACTGACCTGGTGTATAGCCATGAGTCGGCACTGTTGATTGTGTTCTTCATGAGCATCATGTTCTTCCTGGTGTTCGCCGTCAGCTCCCAAATACGGAAAATGGCTTGCATGAACTGGGTCCTTACTCTACTTGTCATCGAGGGCCAGATCTTGGCCATCGGGCTCCTGGTGGTTAAGACAAATATGCTGCGACTGCTGATTGGCTTTCTAGTTGCCTTGATATTAATAGTTATGTCTTCGTTAATGGCTATATTTATACCGGTAAGTTAAAAAAAGGAATGTAGCACAAGTAATTCCAAATTCATATCGCTATGCCATCCAGTTTGACCTCACGAAATATGCAACAATGTTGTTCTTGGTGGACTTCTTTTTGCTTGTGTTCTGTATTTATACTATCACCTACTTGTTAATCCTACATCTGAGTTGGCCCTTTTTCCTGTACGCTTTTATCATCGTGATGCTGGTGTTACCCGTAAGGCGTTGCTTATTGTTATACTTGCCTTTGATGACCTCACACTTCAAAACACGTACACAACACGCACACACACTATGTCACACACCCATGTCACAACCACTCGACATGCACTCGCCATTTACAGATTGTGATGTATCATGTGCAATCGGTTATGGGTAATGGCCAAGAGCGGACCGGGCTGAAAGATGACAAGTTATCCGCGCTGCTATTGTTTCACGATTTTCTGGCCCTGTACATGCTAACATTTTACTGGCGACCCACTAAATAAAAGCCATGTTTCAGAGATGCCCTTGCGCTGGGCAGAAGCTCGTCTCTATTCAAGCTCTTTCTGTCTCAGACAAACATCCATGCGGTTTCTGGAAAAAGCCGGCAACGTCCTCTGTAGGCAGCCTGTCGGTCCCAGTTGATGAAGCATTATGTGATCACGACACAGAATCAGTCCATCACCGTCGCAGTCCCTGGCGTATGATGTTATGAAGCTGCGCACAGTTTCTGTGGCACACTCTGGATTTGATACGCAACTCTCGTAATCTGGAATGATGTTTTGTAGGGCTTAGTCGATGGTCAAAGGAAGCCAGCTGGCAGCTCGCATTACCCTGTGCTGCAATGAACTGACCGAGCCGTATCGCATCCTGCCAATACGGCCGGGAGATACGATAGATGCTACATGGGCTTGGCCCGCACATTGCTGGCTTATGGTCCGTGGCCGTTGCTGCAATGCACTCCAAACAGTCATCGCTGAGGAGCGGTGAGCCAAGTGCAGCTGTAATGAACGCACAGATGAGTATCGATAAATTGGACGAAATCCTGGCTTACAGTGCCAAACGTCCCTCATTTTGAAGACAACAAATTTCGGTTTTTATAAGTGTTTAAACATTTTTGTTATCTCCTTTACTATGTTGCAATATATATGTATCTATACATGTATGTAGATGTTTACATTTGGTTAGCATAAAGCTGCTGGGGCGTTTTAGTGGGCACTTTAAACGTGACCGAGTACTTTGCCAAATAACTCCCACTTATCATGACTTACCCACCCCCGGAGCAGTGACCACTTCAAAGGGGAGTATCACCTCGCTGACATTGTTCTCCTTTGTCGCCAGCGCGATATTCAGGCGCCCGAGATGATTCTTTTGCTTTAGATGCATGTAAATGGCGCCCGCGATAAGCAACAGCGCTACGAAAATGGCAGCTGAGCTCAGCAGCTTCTTAATGCGACACTTTCCATACTTGGCCCAACTGCTTCGCTGTTGCTGCCGTTGACTGCCCTGCAAAAGTTGCACCTCAACTGGGGAAGGGGCTATATTTATCGGAGTCGTTGACATTGTTGATGCACTTTGTGGAGGCACTTAATAAATTGGCGTTCTAATTCTTTACTTGTCAGCGTAACGGAGGCTCTTTCGGGTGCGGGTTGTACAGGTACTCGTCTGATACTGGGCGATAACCCCAGCAAATGTACTCGAATGCTAGCTCATTTAGATTATCGCTCTCTCTCTCTTTCACTGTTTGGCCTGTAATTCATGCTTGCGGTTTCGGAGCGGGCGTTCTCTATCTTGACAGCTCGGGGCTTATCTGAAACCGCACAACTTGCTCATATTCTGGGCTGCTCGCGGGCTGCCTCTCAGTCAATTGCTGTTGTTCTATGCCACGCTCCGCACATAAAACGCAGATGTGCTCGCCGAAATTAGGTGTCGATTGCATTTGCTAGTTCAACTTCGCATATGACAATTTACGGCGGGTCTGGAACTGGGCTTGGGTCTGGCGCTGGCTTAGGGTGGGCGTAAAACCTTGCGCATTTGTATGCACGTACTGTAAGCAAATATGAAAAATTGTTGAGCACATTGCAAACTGGCAACGCAACCATTTGGCAAGCATGTGGCACGAGCAGAGGCGTCGGCAACGTGGTAAGTGTCAATGGGAATTTTTGAATTATTTGTGTGCACTCAGAACACATCAATCGTTATTTGGAAGCAAAACTTGATTAATGTCACTTATCTAATCCATGTCCGAATTTGGACTTTGTTTTTTGTTTTCTATGCTTATTGGATATTTGATCATATCTACGCGTATTAAAACATATATTTATCTACATTAACATGAACTCTTAAAATCTTCAGAAATATGGAATATCTACTTAAAATTCGTACATACCAAAAATTGTCCATAAGTTTGTTTTAACCCACTTCTAACGATCAACGCAATCATCTGAAAAAAAAAATCCAAATTGTACGTTAAGATTTCATATGGAAAAAAAGATTTACTAGCAGCAAGTACAAAAGCATGCTGTAAAAATGAAGAATTCTCAATCGACGCAGCACAAAAGTATGCTTCTGTTATCAACCAGTTAAATTTAGCTTTTACGGTTAAGCTGTGCGTTGACCAAAAGTCAGCACAACTACATTCATATATTTGTAATAATCTACTCACCTCTAAATCCATACGCAAGATTATCTTATCGTCATCTATCAGTAGGCGGGAGTCAAACTTTTATAAGAACACATAACTGAAAGAAAAAAAAACCAGAGATAATGTTAATTAGCTTAAGTACGCTAACTGAGCTCGGCCATAGCCACCTTCACCTTTGTTAAAGCCTCGGCCGCCTCCAAAATATTAGCTTGCGTCTCCTCCTATACCGAAGCCGCCGCCTCCTTAAATATAAAAGACTCCTCTTTCTCCGTTGCTAAGTCTCCTCTTATGTCGAAGCCGCCGTTTCCTCCTATGTCGAAGCCGCCGTTTCCTCCTATGTCGAAGCCGCCTCCTCTTGTGTCGAAGCCGCCGTTTCCTTCCATGTCGAAGCCGTCGTTTCCTTCCATGTCGAAGCCGCCGTTTCCTTCCATGTCGAAGCCGCCGTTTCCTTCCATGTCGAAGCCGCCGTTTCCTTCCATGTCGAAGCCGCCGTTTCCTTCCATGTCGAAGCCGCCGTTTCCTTCCATGTCGAAGCCGCCGTCTCCTCCTGTGCTGAAGCCGCCGTCTCCTCCTGTGCTGAAGCCGCCGTCTCCTCCTGTGCTGAAGCCGCCGTCTCCTCCTGTGCTGAAGCCGCCGTCTCCTCCTGTGCTGAAGCCGCCGGGACTTACTTAAATTCTTGAGAATCGAGTAGAGGGGCATTACTTAAGATAACGTTTTTTCTGTTTACATCGTAGCTGCCAACCTACATACATACATACATACATACATACATACATACATACATACATACATACATACATACATACATACATACATACATACACACATACACACATACATACATACATACATACATACATACATACATAAATATATACATAAATACATACATACATACATACATATATATATATATATATATATATATATATATATATATACATACATACATACATACATACATACATACATACATACATACATACATAGATACATACATACATACATACATACATACATACGTACATATATATATACACGCATACCCTCACGAACCTAGATTTCTTCACGAATAAAATTATATTCAAATTAAATAATGATCAAAATATTGATGTTAGAGGAATGAATAAAGGAATTTTTAAGAATCAATCCAACTAGATGCCTTCCAGCTATCATGTTTGCCAAAATAACTTACGTGTAAGCTTTACGTAACCAGGTTAACTCCATGCTCCAACGTAAACTAGTTGTGAGGCTGTTTTATTTTTAAACCACTCTAAATATTTCCCCTAGAGCTTGAATTTAAGCTGTCAATGGCTGAACATGGGTGGGAAAAAATCACATGTACGCGACAGGACCAGCCCACTTAGCAGCTGCCGGCCAGGTGCACAGCTTAATGTGTGCCGTCATTTAGTTGATTGTTTTTATATACCCTGTAGTAAAATCGTTGGATCTGATATCTGATTGTGTATGTATGTAAAAAGGAAATTAATTGGATTGCATGTGCAAAGAAATTGGAAATAGATAGACAATAGTATAAGAATAGAAAATGTGTTTGGTGATGTGGATTTAAGCGAACATCATTATTTATGTATAGCTTAGGTATGCAGAAGGGGGTTGGAGTTTCCATATGCTTGCATGTGGAAATATGTATGCAGGTATATATACAGTTTATCTGCAAAGGCTCTCTCTTGCGAGCTAGGATGACTCTTGCCCTTATTACGAATTCTACATCCATTACCTAATTTGCTGAAATATGAATCGTATTTGTAATAAGATATATATATCATCCGCCAAAACATTCATTTTGACTTACCCGATAGTTCTTGATGTGCAGGGTATTTGGCAGTTGTTGTTATGTTTAAAGTTGTTTTTGTTTCCTCCCACATTGCTCAGTTCGTTGGCCTTGTGTGTGTCGCTTTCAAATGTCATCATTGTCTTAAGGCATTTCCTGCGCTCCTCTTGGCCAAAGTAATTTGCGTGTTTTCTTACAAAACACATGAGAATGGCTGCGAGCAGGGTCCCAAAAACCGAATTCAATTATGGTATCGTTTTAAGTAGTTCTTTAAATGGCTTTTTGTTCGCAACGTTAAGGGCAGAGCGAGACCAGTGGGCGGCCAAGGGGCCGCCAGGGTACAACAATGGAGCGTGATTCCGGCAAGGTCGTTGGGAACGAGTTAGTGTGTGTTACATGCACATACTTATAATGTACTCATTATGTGGCACATTCTTGTTCTTGCATATTTTCCAACCGAATTCCTTTGAGCTGCGACGCCGGCACTGAAAAGTGCTCAGAAACTGGCCGCTCTAATGGCGAAATTCGAGTCGAGGCACTTGCTGCACTCGATTACGGTCGGCACTTTCCGGCTTGATACCATTCATTGGCTTGTTGTTCCGCCTGCATTTGTATGGGTAGCGGCAAAGGGGCGGCAGCAGTGTGCTGCTGCTGGTGTACCCTGAACACGTAGCGAGCTAAAACAAAGTTAATTAGATTTGTTGCAAGATGGTCATTATTGAACCCAAATGGTCCATGGATAGGCAGGAGGGGTAAGGCAGCGTCGCGCCCTTTTAATGGACTAGCTAGTTCAGTCATTTTGAAATTTTGTATGCACCATTTTTATGTGGTTTACTCGCCTGGAACGGCCCGTGTCCATGCAATTACCCAGCTGGATGGCAGCTCTGGCCACTGGGCATTGCTCAAACGCAGACAACTTAAATCTCGGTTGTTCTTTATGCAATTCGCGTACCGTTTTTATGTATTTACGAGTGGTTGCGTGTAAAATGTGTGCATTTCTCTTTGCAGCTAAACCAGATATTAAGCAGGATAACGTCCAGGGCGCTGAAGGCTGCCGGTAAAAGTTATATTATTAACAGGTTCTGAAATCGGAAATGTAAATGTGGCCAACGGCAAAGTTGTCTGATTGAAAATGCAAATCGCATACAGAAACTGATTGCGGGGCTAAAACGAATTTTGTGGCTGGAGAAAACAAGTAATCAAGTGCACACAGGTTACCGTCTAACCCACCTATCTACCCGTTGCACGCTGCGTATGCGTAATAAGCAGCAGCAACAGCAACAGCACGTGCGTGTCGAAAGGGTGCACACAGGGCGACGGGCAGGCACAGTTGACCATTAAAGTGGCGGAAATGACACTGGCAAAATGTATCGCTGCAAAAATTGGTTTTGTGCGCGCAGCAACAACAACAACTACGTCGACGTGGCACTAAACGAGCCGGGCCAAACCACGACGTCCACGTTACCACCGACGCCCAAAAGCAACAGTAACAGCAACAGCAACAGCATTAATAGAGCTCGCAATAAGGCCAATAGCAATCAGCAGGCAAACGCGAGTGCGACCCACAGATCCACACCCACCGATGATCCACCGCAGGCAGCAGCCGGAGCAGCAGCAGGAGCAGCAAGTGGTGCAGCTCATGTGGTCACCTTTTTGGAGGATGCACCGAGCAGTAGTAATGGCGGCGTAACCAGCAGCCGGATTGTGACCACCGCTGAGCTGCATCAGGCTCACATGCTGGAGCACCATTCCAATTTG